GCCCCGCCGCGACGCTCCCCGCCCGGGCGTCCTCTCGGTCGGCAGCTTCATCTGCGCGTCCCAGTCGGCTGCGCGGGTGGCCGCCCAGGCGAGGTGCGGCGTTTGCACAGGCCGGGCTTCGGCGCAGCGGGGCCATGGCCGCATCCGAGCTCTACACAAAGGTAACGCGCCCCGGGCCCCGCCCGCGGCCCCGGCCCACCAGCACCATCCCCCTTCTGAGGATTTCCAACCCCCGGGCCCTGTCCGCCGGTCGCCCGCGGCGGCGCCTTCCTCTTTCGGGGAGAGGATGGTTAAGGCGGTGAAGGGAGGCATGCCTCGTGGTGTGGGGGGAGGGGGTCTCCCTGCCCCCCTGCCACGTTTCTCAGGCTTCGGGCAGAGCGGGTGTCTGAGTGGAAAGGGGGCCCATGTGAATTTTGTAGGGCGGGCCAGGGTCAGAATTGCCCCGCCCTCTGGCTTGGTGTCGGAAAATTCCTGGCTTGTGGGAGATGCTTGATCTTGTATATCTGATGGTCCCTCTCTTGGGGACAAGCGCTTAAAATAACGTCTTGTGTCGGTATGCGGTCCTGCTTGCACCCTACCGGCAGACAGCCTTTTTGTGAGGTTACTTGGAATCCTGCGAACGGTGGCCAGGCGATTTTCACGTTTAGCTGCCGGGGTTTAGATTGCTGCTCCAGTGGTGAGCGCCCGGGGAAGACGCCGCCCGGGTATACGCGAGCTGATTCACCAGCTGGGATGGTGGTTACTCATTTATCGCTGGGAGTTGCAACCTGCCTGTAATCCCTTAGAGCCTCGTTAGGCCCCATAGAGCTTCACCATCCGCTGGGGCGAGACTTTTCCTTCTGGGTTTAGCTTAAGGGAAGTGGCAGGCTTTTCTCTCTTTAGCTGACACCAGTATTCTGTGGGTCGTGTAATCTTTGAAGGGTTGTGTTTTGGAGAACGTTCCCTTTGAAGACTCTTGTGAAAATTTGTACTGGGCAGTGTGTGGTTCCCTTTATGAGTGTGTGTAATCGTGTCATTTTATGCTATAACTCATGTATGTGTTTTGCCAGCTATTAATTTACCTCTAATTCCAGTTAATAGAAACGTCTTAACTTTTAAAGTTCTCCTTTGCTGCATAATCACTATTTAGGAGTCCTAGAATCGTTTCCAAACTGACATAAGTAAGCGAAGGGCCCAAGTTGCGACTTGTTATAGAGGAAAGAGGTCTGGACCAGGCATGGGAAGACCTGAATTTTAGCCTGGGCCTTTTCACTTACTGTGTAACCATGGGTAAGTAACTGTACCTCCCTGTGCTTCATTTCCTCATCTGTAAATGGAGTGAATGATACCTGCCCTGCATCCCTTACAAGGCTGTTGTGAGGATCAAACTTAATAATAGATGTGAAAGCTTTTTGTAACCTGTGAATTGCTCTACAAGTGTGAGATATGTGATTAATTTCTTCAGCCGTGAAATTAGGGGTTTGAATGAAACATTCTCTGGGACCCCATTCTTTCCAGCCCCAGATTTAAATTTGAACTACTCTCTAAACCTGGTAATTTCTTTTTTCTTTCCCGTACAAAAATTTATATATACATTGTTACGTGACTCTAACTGCTCTTCCCATACTGTGACAGCACACTCCTTTCCACCCCTGATTCCCCATGTCCATTCAACCAGCTTCTAACCCTCTCTGCCTTCCCATCTCACCTCTGGACAGAAGCTGCCCGTTTAGTCTCTTGTATCTA